TCGGATGCCGAATGGGTGCACTTGAAGGCTCTCGGTGACGGTGAATAGCGCCCCGTGCAGCTTTGCCCGTCCCGCCGGTCGGCCGCCGCTTCTGACATCCCCCTCCTCGCCCCCGTCGCTTTTAGATCCCGACGGCAGCGCCGTCTCCTGCGACGGCGAGCACAATGACACGCAACTCACGGAGTTGCGGGCGCTCGACGACTCGCCCGCCGACAAGACGGCGCCGAAAGCGGCGGCGGACGGCCACAAGGCCGCGCAGGGCGGCCGCGGCCACGGCCACGGCCACTCCCACGGCGGCAACTGCCACTCGGATCAGGAGATGAAGGACGCCGGAATCGCCAGCATCGCCTGGATGGTCATCATGGGCGACGGCATGCACAACTTCAGCGACGGGCTCGCCATCGGTACGAGCCGTCCGTCGCTCTTCCCGAGCTCCCGAACGCCGCGTCTAATACAAAGCAACACGGTCAATTTCCCATTGGCGCCCGTGGCTTCTTTTTACACTGCGCCGACCCCATTTCACGTTAGCGTTTTGGGAGCTCCGTGAACAACAACTTTCTTTGTGCCTTGTTGGTTCCCTCCCGGAGTCAAACGTGCCTTCCGGGCGCGGCTGACACCGTGAACTCTTCTCGTCTTTCAGGCGCGGCGTTCAGTGCAAACCTCACAGGAGGCATCAGTACTTCCGTGGCTGTTTTCTGCCACGAACTACCTCATGAACTCGGTAAGTGCCGCGCGCCGAGACCGCCCGTGAAATCGCGACAAAACGTGTCTCGTACTTGCTGCGGGACGCGGACGCCCCCGCCGCGAGATGGCCTCTTTTTGAATGTCAATCAAAAGTGGTTCCCGTCCCCTTTTATGGGGCCCGTTGGTGCCCCCCTTTGCCCCCCCCCCCCCCAAAAAAAAGTGAGTCCCCTCTGGCAACGAAATGAAGCCTTGTGCTTGTTGTTCATGACGGCGCCAATCAAAAAACGACAAAGGCGCCGGCGCCTCCGTTTGCATCGACTCTGTTTTCGCGGTGTGCCGTTTTCACTCCGTGGCAGTGAGGAATTTTCAGGGGGGGGGGTTCCAAGCTGTGCTTTGTTTGGACTAAGAAGTTGAGAAGGGTAAACAGCCACGCGACACAAGTCAGAATGCAGCGAAGCGAAAGGTGCACTTGAGACGTAGGTCCGATCAATGTCGTGCTAATTGGCCAACCGGGTTCAATAAAACATGAGGCGCAAGTGTCAGAACTGCATTTATCCCTGTGAAGACCACATTGAGACTCTTTTGAGCCCCCCCCGCGAGCGTAGTAGACCACTTCATCGAGGTTTGGCCTCTCATCTGAGCACGCTTCATCAGTTTATGCTCAGGGCATGAAAAGGATGGCATGAATCCAGATGTGGCATACAAGTAGACCCCCCCCCCTTGCCCCCCCTCTATGAAATGAATCCGGTCCCACGTCTGTCAGACAGCGCCGGCGCACCCATACAAAAGCAAAAGGCGTGGCCGACTGGCAGCCGGGAGGCAAAAGGCGCCGATGACGAGGAGGGGCTTCTTCAACCACCCGGGGCGAAGCTCATTAGCGGCGAGGGCTTCTTTTTAATTGCGGCGGCAGGCGTGCGGAGGAGTCGGCAAGCGAGGGGGGCGGGAAAAGGGCGAGCGAGAGTTCACTGCGCGTTTTGATTGACGGCTGACAGCGGCGGGCTCATTTATTCACGGTGGTGATTAGCCAGGGAAAGAGGCCGCTTGTCACACACGCGCCGGGGCGGGGCAAATGTAGGCCGCCGCACCAGCCACAAATACCGTTGAGACCCGACGTGCGTAATCATGAGCGCGTTCGACGAGACGTGGGCGCATTTCGGGGGAGGAGTCGCCGCCGCCACTTTGACCTCCTTTTGATGGCGTTGCATGGCCCGGGTGGGCGAGCGCTCGTCTCCCGAGTCTTCACGTCAAGCCGGTCGGCCGCTGACTCCATTTCGTCCTGGCAACTTGCCCGCCTTGCCCAACAACAAGATTCGTATTGTGCAGAGATGCCAAACCTGCCTTGCTTTGACCGCGCCTGACGTCACGTGACTTTGTGCGAGCGTCTTTCGCTCCTACTTTGGATGACATGAGGGACACGACGCCCCTGAAGGCGCGCATCCAACGCGTCGGCGGGTGCTACCATTCATTCGTGACACTTTGTAAAACCCCTCGCGTTTACATTTTTTTCATGAACGCCCTGAGATGTGACAAGATGGCGCCAAGGCCCCGCCAATAGCAAAGCAGTCGTGTCAAGCAAATCCCGTTTGCCGAAGCCCTTCCCTTCGTTCTGCTGCCGAGCGGCTCGCCTGAGCCCGGCTTGTTAGCGGAAGCCACGGAGCCTCTTCACTTCATCCGCCTTTATTTTTTTCCACTGCTTTTAAAAGGCTCCAGCGAACAGATGGCAGCCGTCTCGTTATTGCTTGACAGTTGCGATTTTGCATGTGAGCGGCGAAATGCGCTTCCTCCCGTATTTAAAGTAGACCATGAAATCATCTGCATGGCCTTTCTTTTTGAAGACTTCAAATTCAGTTTACAATGACAGTCATGTGTTTTGAGTCTTTGTTTTATGTACATTCAAGAACTTTTTTTTGGGGGGGGGGGATTCAATTACTTGCAGTTTATGATGCAACGGCATTGTTATGCGCATCCGCAGGAATGAAAAAGTTTCACGTTTTGGGAAATAAAACGGGCGTGTGTGTGTGTGTGTGTGTGTGTGTGTGTGTGTGTGTGTGCATTCAGGTGACTTTGCGGTGCTGCTGAAAGCGGGCATGTCGGTGAAACAGGCCATTGTGTACAACCTGCTGTCGGCCCTCATGGCCTACGTGGGCATGCTGATCGGCACCGCCGTGGGCCAGTACACGCACAACGTCACCAGCTGGATCTTCGCCATCACAGCCGGAATGTTCCTCTACGTGGCTCTGGTGGATATGGTAAGAAGGCACCGCTGGCCCTCAATAACGGCCATGTTTGCGGGGGGCTTTTTGACGGGGGAGACTTCGGCAGTGTACAGACGTCGATCTGACACACGAGGTCGAGTCTTTTCTTGTTGACTTTGTGGCCGCGCGGCGCTAATTGCCGCCCTGCTTGTTGGCAGTTGCCCGAGTTGCTCCACGGCGACAGCGAGGTGCACAAGCGCTGCCAGCTGGGGCACTTTCTGCTGCAGAACCTGGGACTGCTGACCGGGTTTGGCATCATGCTGCTCATCGCCATCTTCGAGGACCGCATCGTCTTTGACTTTGGCTTTTAAAGCGACGCCAACGGGGGGAAATGAAGAGTGGAGCTTTTCAGTATTCTTCTCGCTCGGCGTCGCATTTCGTGACCTCAATGTCATTTGTCGTGTTTACAGCATCGTCCCCCCCCACCCCTCCCTCATTTAGCCCCATTCGTCTTCCATCAAAGCATTACTCCGACAAAGCACAAGCGAGCTGTCTACCCGGGTTGGGATAAACCGCTCCTCGGAAACTCATTTTGGCAGCTCTTTAAGCCGCCGTGTCAAAACAAGAGCAGATCTTGCCCGTTTTGGGGGCTTCGGCATGGCTGAAAGCTCAACAATTTGTGCTCCGTGCATGTATCCGGGTGAAAATCTACTGTATGTATTTCAGAGGCCTTGCTCGCTAGCGCACCCCGGAACGCGAGATGAAATTGCCGTGGACTTGAAATCACGAAGAGGATAGAAAAATGTTTGAAGTGTGCCTGAAATTAAATAGGAAGTCGTCCATTTCAGTTGGAAGCAACCAACTTGGCAATTTGCCCCCAAAGCAAATTCAACATTTGTGTTGAGAAAATGACCGCCGTTCATGTTTGTTTGAGTGAGCAATGACTTGAGAATGGCAAACTTTTTTTTTTTTTTTTGCAGCTGTTGCTCACTCGTACCTGTAGTTCTTTTTTGCGTTTAGTTGCATAGAGTTGATTTCCGTTTACACCAAGCGGTACTTTTGCGTAGTTTTTATCATTGCGTAGTTTGGGTTAACATTTTGAAGCTTAAATCTGCAAAACACCGCAATTTTTTTTTTTTGTAGCTGTTGCTCACTCGTACCTGTTGTTCTTTTTTGCGTTTAGTTGCATAGAGTTGATTTCCGTTTACACCAAGCGGTACTTTTGCGTAGTTTTTATCATTGCGTAGTTTGGGTTAACATTTTGAAGCTTAAATCTGCAAAACACCGCAAGGATGCCCCGTTAGTGATTCTCTGTTGGGGGGGAGGGCAACAGCGTCCAATCTTGATGAGTCCCTCCGTGGAACCGCAATGGCTGGTGATCAAAATGACGCCTCCTCATCCGTCATCTCCTTCCTTTCCGTCAACATTCCATTGCTGGTTCTGCTGCTCACGGGCTAAGCTACATCGGTTAGTTTCAGCTGCTAGAATATTTTGTGTGTGTGTGTGTGTGTGTGTGTGTGTGTGTGTGTGTGTGTGTGCGCGCGCGCGCGCACGCGCACACGCGCATGACCATTTAACCTGTCACCGTGTGACATCTTTTTTGGGTCACTCCAACCATAGCATGAGCAGCAACGAGTGTACATTTCTGTGTCAACTGTAAAAATGAATTTGTAGTGCCAAGTTCCGATAAGGATGAACCTCCAATTAGTTTTGCGATTAAAATCAAGCAAAAGACAGAAAAAGGCGGGCGGGTTTCTTTCACGAGACATGATTGTAATTTTCCGTTCTGTCAAATGTGTTCTCTCTGTCGTCGTACCTGCTGTATTCAGTGGGGTCAGCTGTCTTGTATGGCAAATCGAAGTTTTCAGTGTGCCGAATTATTTCCATTGGGAAAGCCAAGCGCACGTGTGGCTCGTTTGTTCAAAACCACCGGTGAACATGTGCTCTCATGTTGTCCCAAAAAAAAAAAAAAAAGACAAAATAAAAAGATTTCTCATTGATGTGATGTCATTCTTTGAATTGAAACGTCTCAAAAAAAAAATCCGTGATAAAGTGGACTGTAGTTGATGCTTAAAAAAAAAAAAAAAAAAAAACGCAGTGAAAAAAAATGCTAATAATTGGGACAAAAACGGCTTACTATACATGGTCGTTTTTTTTGTTGAAAAATGCCTTATTATACATGGTCGTTTTTTTCGGGTTAAAAAGCCTTACTATCATGGTCATTTTTTTGGTCTGAAAACGCCTTACGATACATGGTTGTTTTTTTCGACTAAAAATGCCTGACTATACATGGTCGTTTTTTTCGGCTAAAAACGCCTTCGGTTGTTTTTTTCGACTAAAAATGCCTTACGATACATGGTCATTTTTTTGGGCTAAAAACGCCTTACAATACATGGTCGTTTTTTTCGGCTAAAAATGCCTTACTATACTATGTCGTTTTTTTTTTCGGGTTAAAACGCCTTCCGATATGTGGTCTTTTTTTTCGGCTAAAAACGCCTTACTATACGTGGTTGTTTTTTCGTCTAAAAACTCCTTACTATACATGGTCGTTTTTTTCAGCTAAAAATGCCTTACTATACGTGGTTGTTTTTTTTCGTCTAAAAACGCCTTACTATACATGGTCATTTTTTTTCGGGTTAAAACGGCTTACTATACATGGTCGTTTTTTTTGTTGAAAAATGCCTGATTATACATGGTTGTTTTTTTCGGCTAAAAACGCCTGACTATACATGGTCGTTTTTTCGGCTAAAAACGCCTTACGATACATGGTCGTTTTTTTTGGCTAAAAACGCCTAACTATACATGGTCGTTTTTTCGGCTAAAAACGCCTTACGATACATGGTCGTTTTTTTTGGCTAAAAACGCCTAACTATACATGGTCGTTTTTTCGGCTAAAAACGCCTTACGATACATGGTCGTTTTTTTTGGCTAAAAACGCCTAACTATACATGGTCGTTTTTTCGGCTAAAAACGCCTTACGATACATGGTCGTTTTTTTTGGCTAAAAACGCCTAACTATACATGGTCGTTTTTTCGGCTAAAAACGCCTTACGATACATGGTCGTTTTTTTTGGCTAAAAACGCCTAACTATACATGGTCGTTTTTTCGGCTAAAAACGCCTTACGATACATGGTCGTTTTTTTTGGCTAAAAACGCCTAACTATACATGGTCGTTTTTTCGGCTAAAAACGCCTTACGATACATGGTCGTTTTTTTTGGCTAAAAACGCCTAACTATACATGGTCGTTTTTTCGGCTAAAAACGCCTTACGATACATGGTCGTTTTTTTTGGCTAAAAACGCCTAACTATACATGGTCGTTTTTTCGGCTAAAAACGCCTTACGATACATGGTCGTTTTTTTTGGCTAAAAACGCCTAACTATACATGGTCGTTTTTTCGGCTAAAAACGCCTTACGATACATGGTCGTTTTTTTTGGCTAAAAACGCCTAACTATACATGGTCGTTTTTTCGGCTAAAAACGCCTTACGATACATGGTCGTTTTTTTTGGCTAAAAACGCCTAACTATACATGGTCGTTTTTTCGGCTAAAAACGCCTTACGATACATGGTCGTTTTTTTTGGCTAAAAACGCCTAACTATACATGGTCGTTTTTTCGGCTAAAAACGCCTTACGATACATGGTCGTTTTTTTTGGCTAAAAACGCCTAACTATACATGGTCGTTTTTTCGGCTAAAAACGCCTTACGATACATGGTCGTTTTTTTTGGCTAAAAACGCCTAACTATACATGGTCGTTTTTTCGGCTAAAAACGCCTTACGATACATGGTCGTTTTTTTTGGCTAAAAACGCCTAACTATACATGGTCGTTTTTTCGGCTAAAAACGCCTTACGATACATGGTCGTTTTTTTTGGCTAAAAACGCCTAACTATACATGGTCGTTTTTTCGGCTAAAAACGCCTTACGATACATGGTCGTTTTTTTTGGCTAAAAACGCCTAACTATACATGGTCGTTTTTTCGGCTAAAAACGCCTTACGATACATGGTCGTTTTTTTTGGCTAAAAACGCCTAACTATACATGGTCGTTTTTTCGGCTAAAAACGCCTTACGATACATGGTCGTTTTTTTTGGCTAAAAACGCCTAACTATACATGGTCGTTTTTTCGGCTAAAAACGCCTTACGATACATGGTCGTTTTTTTTGGCTAAAAACGCCTAACTATACATGGTCGTTTTTTCGGCTAAAAACGCCTTACGATACATGGTCGTTTTTTTTGGCTAAAAACGCCTAACTATACATGGTCGTTTTTTCGGCTAAAAACGCCTTACGATACATGGTCGTTTTTTTTGGCTAAAAACGCCTAACTATACATGGTCGTTTTTTCGGCTAAAAACGCCTTACGATACATGGTCGTTTTTTTTGGCTAAAAACGCCTAACTATACATGGTCGTTTTTTCGGCTAAAAACGCCTTACGATACATGGTCGTTTTTTTTGGCTAAAAACGCCTAACTATACATGGTCGTTTTTTCGGCTAAAAACGCCTTACGATACATGGTCGTTTTTTTTGGCTAAAAACGCCTAACTATACATGGTCGTTTTTTCGGCTAAAAACGCCTTACGATACATGGTCGTTTTTTTTGGCTAAAAACGCCTAACTATACATGGTCGTTTTTTCGGCTAAAAACGCCTTACGATACATGGTCGTTTTTTTTGGCTAAAAACGCCTAACTATACATGGTCGTTTTTTCGGCTAAAAACGCCTTACGATACATGGTCGTTTTTTTTGGCTAAAAACGCCTAACTATACATGGTCGTTTTTTCGGCTAAAAACGCCTTACGATACATGGTCGTTTTTTTTGGCTAAAAACGCCTAACTATACATGGTCGTTTTTTCGGCTAAAAACGCCTTACGATACATGGTCGTTTTTTTTGGCTAAAAACGCCTAACTATACATGGTCGTTTTTTCGGCTAAAAACGCCTTACGATACATGGTCGTTTTTTTTGGCTAAAAACGCCTAACTATACATGGTCGTTTTTTCGGCTAAAAACGCCTTACGATACATGGTCGTTTTTTTTGGCTAAAAACGCCTAACTATACATGGTCGTTTTTTCGGCTAAAAACGCCTTACGATACATGGTCGTTTTTTTTGGCTAAAAACGCCTAACTATACATGGTCGTTTTTTCGGCTAAAAACGCCTTACGATACATGGTCGTTTTTTTTGGCTAAAAACGCCTAACTATACATGGTCGTTTTTTCGGCTAAAAACGCCTTACGATACATGGTCGTTTTTTTTGGCTAAAAACGCCTAACTATACATGGTCGTTTTTTCGGCTAAAAACGCCTTACGATACATGGTCGTTTTTTTTGGCTAAAAACGCCTAACTATACATGGTCGTTTTTTCGGCTAAAAACGCCTTACGATACATGGTCGTTTTTTTTGGCTAAAAACGCCTAACTATACATGGTCGTTTTTTCGGCTAAAAACGCCTTACGATACATGGTCGTTTTTTTTGGCTAAAAACGCCTAACTATACATGGTCGTTTTTTCGGCTAAAAACGCCTTACGATACATGGTCGTTTTTTTTGGCTAAAAACGCCTAACTATACATGGTCGTTTTTTCGGCTAAAAACGCCTTACGATACATGGTCGTTTTTTTTGGCTAAAAACGCCTAACTATACATGGTCGTTTTTTCGGCTAAAAACGCCTTACGATACATGGTCGTTTTTTTTGGCTAAAAACGCCTAACTATACATGGTCGTTTTTTCGGCTAAAAACGCCTTACGATACATGGTCGTTTTTTTTGGCTAAAAACGCCTAACTATACATGGTCGTTTTTTCGGCTAAAAACGCCTTACGATACATGGTCGTTTTTTTTGGCTAAAAACGCCTAACTATACATGGTCGTTTTTTCGGCTAAAAACGCCTTACGATACATGGTCGTTTTTTT